GTGGACCAGGGGCAGAAAGTGACACTGGGAGAAGAGAATGCTTCCAATTTGTCCTCCAAGTAGGAATTGGCACTTAAGGCCACCTTGACACTGAGAAGTCTGTCACTCCCCTGAAGAGAATTAGAGAGCTTGGGCTAGAGGAATGCAGAATTTTAAAACCACACCATTATTTTCCACACTAAAAAGTGTCACGTACTATTTTGCAAGTTTTACTGAAGGGCAGCAAAACTCTGGGAAGAGATGGAGTAACAAACACTCGGTATTGAAGTTTGACCTGCGCATGGGAATAAGCACTGAAAACGAATGATAGAGGATTAGTGACACAGGCCTGGAGGCGCACACTCGCCTTCCTGCAGCCTGTGTGGGAACGAAGTGACAGAGCCCTTCGGCCAGTGGGGCACTGCCAGCATCTGGGCTGCTCTCCTTCGATGCTCCCACGAAAGGGCAGCACTGCTTCCTCGGGGAGGGAGGAGTCAGAAATACCTAAGAAGTAGCTACTTCAAGCACTGTGTACTTAAGGGCTGAAGGTGTAAACGGGTGCACCAAGGACAAGCATGTTTATGAGCAACTGATCTCTGTGATTCTTCCTCTCTCTCTCAACTCCGGATGAAGGTGGAGAATCCCGGTCTTCATTGTGCTGGCTTGGGAAGAGACTGCTCTGAGGTTCGGAAGGAGCCAAAAATCTAAATTAATTTAATTTCAAAATACAGAAAAAATACTTATATGAGAAGGAATATCCACAAAAAGTCAATTGAAATCAAGGGCTAAAAGAAGGGATGGCTAAAAGAATTTAAAGGGAAGCAGAGCTAGTCGGGGGTTATTTTGGAAAGAGGCTTTGGGGTTGACAAGAGAGATTTTGGGGGAGTATTGAAGGACTGCAGAGAGACAGATGAGTGGAATGGATTTCTATAAAGTTTACTCTGATCCAAACCTTGTCATTCCTCACAGTGACACTGCAGACAGACTCTGGTAAGCACTGGCATTACTTTCCAGCTGCAGTGCACCTGCTCAGGTGTGACACTCAGAGGTTTGGACTCCAAGCCCAGGATGCAGTGCACACATTTGAGCAATGGCCATTACATGGTGCCGGGATACATACCTCGGCCTGGGAAATAAGGCAGAGATGTGTCACTGCCTTCTCTAATCTCCATGCCCTGTGACTACCCTCAGAGTTCCTGCTTCCAGGACTCCCGCTGCTTGGCCTGGAGATACAAGTGTTCTGGTTCCAAGGAGGAGAGAGTCAACCCCAGGGCACACATAAAGTGTTCTGACGCACCCGAAGCAGCAACTTCCACCTGGTGAACCTGAGCTGCTTGTGCTTACAGACCAGCTGATAAATAAGCGAGTTATAACTCCAGATGATTTACAAACTCTGTCATGAAGCATTAGAACCATGAACACTTGTGACGTTTGTGATTTTATGAAATGGTCAGTAAGCAATCTCAGCAACTGTATTCCAGGCAACAGCAAGACAACCCCAAATTCCAACCCTTTCAGGCTAGAAGTCTAGATTACCCCCAAGGTAAGCAAGTTAAATCAGCTCAGTTTGTAATGGAAGATATTGAAAATCTAGATGGTTCTGAAGAAGGAGACAGCAAACATTTATGATAGTTTTGGGACCGGTTGTGGTAGTGGTGATTCTAAGTCTCAGAGGCCAAGTGTTGTGCTTTCGATCTAGAAAATCCCCCCTAAAGTCTCAGGTGTTCGGAGGAGAGGCTTTGGGTCTGTGTCCGGACCATGGGGGTGCTGTACTACCAATGGGTTCATCGGTTGAAGCATTCAGTGGGTCACTGGGGAGGTGTCCTGGAAAGATATCTCGAGGTTCCTCCTTCTGTCTCTGCTTCCTGGCTGCCACAGGATGAGTAGCTATCCTCCACCTTCCACTTTGGAGCGAGCTGATCATGGACAAAAATGTGAGCTAAAATAAACTTATCTTCCTTTAAGTGGTGGCTGTTGGGTGTTCCTCCCAGCAATGAGGAAAGGGACTGAGAACACCAAGAAAATGTAGAATACAGTTCCAGCGACCCTAAGTTGTATGGCAGCCCAATGATGGTATTTATGTACTGTTTCTCATATTGCATACCTAAAACTTCCCTCCAATATCAGTCCCAACAGAAAATCTCCAGCAAGTTCAGATTCACCTTGCTCTGGGGGCTGCCCACCAGGAGCAGGTCTCTGGCATTTTGCCTCAGAGCTCTCCAGGCAGTGGAAGCTGGCCTGACAGCTATACAAGGAAAGGCACAAGGGCTGAGAGGTAATGCCACTGGGGAATTCTCAATCATAGGACAGCAAGAGCTGGGGGTCCTAGGCTCTGGATTCCAAGTCACCAGGCAGAATACTGTGGGAGGTGTGCAGGGTGCTGCCAGAAAGTTTCAGGGAACCCACAGCCCTGTGTCCTTCACAAAGGCTCAATAGGAGGGACTCACATTGCTTCTCCTCCTCTCCATGTCACCCTCATCCCTCGTGTGTGTCCTGCATCTTCTCATTCATCAACTACAAGGACCTAAATCCGTGTCTGGGATTTTGATTTTTGGAGAGTGAATATTATGGAATTCTTTAAAAGAGCAAATTATCTTCTCCCAATTTCTATATCCACTCCCCCCACCAGTGTTCTATTGATTACTAAAGTGTTTGTTTTCTACCTTTCAACTGCCCATGTTAAAATTTGGGTGTTTGCCTTTCTTTGGTTCAATGCTGTCTTTTCCTTGGGGTAGCAAGTTAGTTCCCCCAAACACTGCTTTGAGTTTAGTCTCAAGACTGATAGTCCTGGCCCTGTTGCTCTGCACCTGGCTTTTGTTGGCGTCGTGATACAGTAAGATAAAGTTAGCACACCACCATAATTCTGGAATAGGCTTAATAACCACTCAAGCAGCTCATGTTCCTACGGCTTTTCCCCAAGTGCCTGACTCCCTCTCAGCCCCTGTGGTTAGTTCTGTTTGAAGGTATTTGGCCATGAATTTAAACACTGGAGTGTGGTCTGCCTTTGGTAAACACCAGACAGTGAGTCAGGGCCTTTGATTCTTTTCATGTTTCTGCCTATTGTGTTGAGAAACCTGCTCGCCTCCCTAGGCTCTGTCTCAATCCCTAAAGGAGCTGCCTAGCACCCTTGTGCTTCTCAGAGCGAACAGGACTTAGAGCCTTTGGATAGTCAGGAATGGGCCTGATTCGTGACATTTTCTTATGTTTAAAATCTGAAGTACACCTATTAGTTGTTGTATTTCGATGCGTTTGGAAATATGCTTAACTACAAAGGAAGAAAGAATTAGCTTTTGTATTTTTACTTAATAATAAATTATGGTGCATGGAGATTCAGCTATTTCTAATCACTTCTCAAAATACTGAATGGCAGGTATTACTGTCCATGGTATGGGATACTGTACATGTCTTTCTGAACCTCATTCTGGTTGAATCAATATCATGCTTTCTTTCTAATTTTCCTTCCAATCAAATAATGTAGGAATCCACAGGACACTCGCAGGAGACCCGGACTAGCATGTAGTGGTTCACAAGCATAAATCCTCTGCACCACAGCTGTGTGTAAAACTGCAGTTTGGAAGAAAAGGAAGAGATATGAGAGAAAAGGTTGCATATGGCTTCAGAGCTCATTTTGTGTCATTTTTCTTTATAGCCCAGAAAAGTGGGGTGTGTGTGTGTGTGTGTGTGTGTGTGTGTGTGGACATGCATGCGTGAGTTCTGGGCTTGGACTGCATTGCTGGGATATTGTTAAGAGGTGACCTGCAATAAGAATATAACCCCATTTATTTTCCTACTATGGACAGCATTTACTTCTGCAAATCCTCTTTACAATTCTTTGATAAAGCTTTGGCTCATTCATTTGTATCTTAGGATCAAATACTAGAACCAGATCAATAACTTATTTTGTCTGCAGCACTGAAGTGGAGAGGAAATAATTTTCATTCGGAAGGTAAGGTAGAGACTGTGGGAACCGGCTCTCCAGAGAATGATCACCAAGCTCCAGGTCCCAGACATGTGGAGATGAAGGCAAAGCACAGAAGCTTTGGAATGAAGTAGAAGGTGACACAAAGAAAAACTGTGACAGCTGATGACTTTGCAATATTTGGTGTTGAACTCTTCCAAGGACAGGTCCAGGTTACTATAAAGATGACACATCCGGGTCAGTGTCCAAATAATACATCCATGTTAATACAGAGATAATAGGTCCAGATTCATAAAAAGATAGTTTGTCCAGGTTCATATAAAGACAGTGTATACAGGTTCATATAAAAATAGTATGTCAAAATTCACATAAAAATAACATGTCCAAGGTAGCATAAAATGCTAAGCTGTCCAGGTTAATGTACAGATGACAAAACTCCTCTCCAATGATTCACTGCAGTTTTCCTAGTCAGGACTGGTCCCCCACTAGAGAAATACAGGAATGGTTCAATGGAAGGGAGCAAGAAAATAAAGGTTCTGTACATAGCTACATACACAGAATCATTTGAGCTTATTTCCCTCTCTCTCTCAGTCTTACTTTCTTATATATTTAACATAGTAGGATTTATTTCCCCATAGTCATCTTTTATTCTTGTTATGAAATAAATCAAGAAATCAATGATTTAGGACAAGAGAAATGAGGCAGCTATAGGAGAGGAAGAATTCTGAGGATTTGATATAAAGATGAAGTACTTTATGTGGAGTTTCCTAACTGATAGACACCTACATTTGAAATTCAAACACTTCATTATGAGTTCACATGAGTTTTGCTTCTCGGTACGTCTGGACCGAAGCCCACCCCAGGGCCTGCTGAGTGTCACCTCCACAGTGTTGCTGTGGACACCTTCCTCCACCCCGTCTCATCTACGTCACTCAAAGCCCACAGGGAACCTTGCTGCCTCTGCCTGCACAGTGTGACTCCTTGCAAGGTACCTTCCTGACCCGGGCCACCACCTTTTATGGCCTGAAAGACAGCAATGGCCTCCCTCCCCTGCCTGCATGTCCCCCTAATGCAAGGTTGACTCTTGACACACTCACCAGTGTGGTCCTTTCCAAATATGAGTCAGGCCAGCGGGGCTCTTCGATCACAATCCACCATCAGCTTCCCAGCACTCAGAGTTGACATCCACGTCCTCAGGAGTGGATCACAGGCCCTTCGTGTGGGGTCCCCAGAACCTCTCTGACAGCTGTTGAATGAATGTTTTGCACTTTGCTTTCTCAGTCCAGCTTCCCTGGCCCTCTACTTCTCCTTGAGCTCACAGCAGCATCTGTGCTTCCCGGGAGGACGCTGTTCTACCTGGATCACTCTTCTGCAGGACCCACACCTCCACCCTGCAGTCTCCACTCACTGCTCCTTCAGTCTGGCTCCTGTGCTCACAGACTGACTTGTCAGATTTTGAGCACATCCTTACTTTCTGCACAAGCAGCTTCTTTAGGTTCACCTCCTGCTTTGCTCCCGGCTGTACACCTTATCACTTCAGCATGTGCAACACTGACCACATAGATGACACAGGAAAGGGGAGCATGACAAGCCAATCTTCACTTCCCAGTGCCCATGTACTCAAGGCAGCAGCTTCCTAGTACAAATCAAAGTTCAGACTTGAGTATCGTTTCTGGAACCTGGGAGGAATTCAACACATATTTGATTAGGAAAGGAGGATGGGACCATCTGGTCAACCCATCAACAATTCAGATGGAAAACATAGAAGTACACCAGTCTCTTGCACATGACAGGTAGAGACAAGGGTAACTAGAGTAAAAGCTGGAAAGATTGCTGCAGTCTGCTGGTTCTCAGATAAATAGCACAAAATTTTTTTTTAGTTCAGTAACTTTTTCAACATACCCATTGACAATAACATGGTAAAAAATAGGAAAACATATTTCTTGTTACTGCTGTTCAACCTCAAATTTTGACCAGTTTTAAGATAATTAGTACATTTGCAATATAATGCTGAATTGAGTTTTTCTGATAAAGTCAGCACAGAGTTAGTGATTGTTACGAAATCATGATTCACTGAGAAAATAAAACCACAATACCAGCTGCACAACTCTGAGCAGAAAGTGTGATATACCGGAATTAGGCCGACAATGTTTATTTGAAATTTGTGACTGTCAAAACACTGATGTCGTTTTATAAAACTAAGTGAAAACTCTACACAAATTAATTTGTACACTATTGTGGGGAAGTAGCTGTGCTTCTCATGCATAGAAGGAGTCAAAATTTAAGATTATAACTAACTTGCTCGGGAGCAAAGGGAGAAACTAGTGTAGGTGCACAGAAGATGGGTAATGTAAATGTCTGGCCCTATGATTCACGCTGAGCATTCCCATGTATTTGTATTTATTGTGCTTTCAATCCTGCTGCATTCTGGTGGGTTTTTGTTTTTTTTTTTTTTTTTTTTTTTTGCATATAGCAATGAAGCCAGAATAAAACCATGTATAAGAAAACATTTTGGAAAATACTAGTCTACCACATCAAACTCTTGGAACCTCATCTGTTACACAGGGATGTTAATAGTGGCTGTATTTTAAAATTTCTGTTAAAAATGGATGAAATTATATATATAAATATGCAGCTGGAAATGTGCTCAGGGGTGGAGCATTTGCCTGCCAAGCCCGAGATCCTGGGTTTGATCCTTAGTGCAAATAAATAACTATAGCAGATTTCTTGGTATATATGTGTATTGATAATTATGTACATATGGGGGATAGGTAGGTACATAATCAATTACTTATATTAACCTTTGTTGTAATCTTTAGTCTTCAAAAGTATAACAGTTTTTGGTACATTTCAAAAGATCACGTATAAATATTGCATTCGAATCTACCTTGAAAATCTTTCACGCATACAATTACATTCCTGAGAAAGTCACTGTATCTAAACTTCACATTTATCTTGGGAAATCAGCACTGTACAGCTTCTAAAATGTGTAGGGGATACCAGACTTGTGCTTTCTATCTAGTGTCACAAATTCTAAATCTCAATGGTTAGCAGTAAAACTCTTGCTGTCCATGACTAGACAACAGAATTTTTTTTGTACCGGGAATTGAGCTCAGGACCTTGCACTTGCCAAGCAAGGCACTGTACTGCTGAGCTACATCCCTGGCCCTAAACAACAGAATTTTAACAATTTGCATTGAATAATAAGCTGGAAATTCTGAGCATAAGCTGAGTCATTTGATTATAAGTTACAGTTATCTACGTTACAATGAGATCATCAGTTTTATCTTCTTATTTATCAAACAAAAGCAGGAAAGACTTCTGAAGATAACTAAATCCAACAATTCCATCTTTTTGCTTTTTTCCTGAGATAAAAATCAACCACATAACATGGTGTACCATCAAAGCAAACGTCTCTAGAGTTTTATTTTGATTGGTTTGTTTGTTTGTTTTTCAGTGCTGGGTATTGAACCCAAGGCCTCTCACATGCTAAGCAAATTCTACCACTGAGCTACATCCTAACCATATCTTTATTTTTAAAAGTCTATGAATCTAAAAATATATAATGCTCTATATTTTTGGCTAAGATACATACCCAGACTATTCTACTAAATTCTGGTCTGTTCCAAAGTTGAGCTATCACTTCTGGCCACCCCGCCCTCCACACAAACAAACAGGCCAATTTGGTGGTAGGGCACCATCTAGAGTGGGCATTTAGGCAGCAGTTAGAGCAACTTGAGAAACAGCAGGGCTATGTTTGGATCTCTCCACTGAAGATTAAATTAACTCTTTCCATTATTCCATTGCATCATAAGTGAAAATAACTGTGGTAACGAAATGCAGCCTTAAGGCTCTGCCATGTGTTTTGTGTACTATGGAAGCTGTCTTGCTTAACACACACACACACACACACACACACACACACACACCCATGGAGAAGCAGGATTGCCTTGTCCAAACCACACTACCATTAATTTAAACTAGAACACTGATGTTTTATGTTAACTATTTTACCACTGATTCGAATATTGAATATCAGTGGCAATCAAGTGCCAGGCATGTCTTCTAGTGCTGCATTAGTAGAAAAAAGGAAATATTTTATTGTCTGGAGAAAAAAATTTGGGCCTCTCTCTAAAGATTTCAAGGATTCTGAGATAAGAAGAAGAAAAAAAGGAATGAATTAGTCATGATCCCATAAGACTTTTAATCTAAGGCTTTCCTGACCTAACAGGATCTTACATGATTTATAATATGTAGTTTTTCCTTATATTTCACTTTCAAAAAGATAAAGAGAATGCGGTTTTGAAGCAGTTTTAAGCACTTTTCAAGTAAAGAAAAAAATGAAATAACTGTTACTATAAAAGAGGAGAAAGGTAAAGATTGCTGGTTTTCCTCAACCACCTCTACCAAGTACCAACAAAAGTGTAACATGCTGGTGATATGATTTATTTACTGCTCTTAATAAGACTAGCTTCGGAGAAAAATGTCTATGTGCATTTAAGAGCTTTCTGGCCCACTGAAACAAACAAAGCTCGCTTCTTCCTCCTACCTAACTGAACAACTGGTTATTAAGTGGGCTGCCTGCACACAGCGTGACTGTCACCCTGTCACTGTGGGTTTTGCGGGGACAACCTTCTCCCTGTATGAATTCCATTTCTGTGGACAAAGAGCTGTGCAGAACGTGGATTTGGGGCCACCTTGTGACAAACTGAGAAAAGTGCTGGGGCCATACGGCAGAGAGAGAAGTTTCTGCCCTTCAAGGATTCTGAGATAAGAAGAAAAAAGGAATGAATTAGTCATGATCCCATAAGACTTTTAATCTAAGGTTTTCCTGACCTAACAAGATCTTACATGATTTATAACATGTAGTTTTTCCTTGTATTTCACTTTCAAGAGGATAAAAAGAATGGGGTTTTGAAACAGTTTTAAGTGCTTTTCAAGTAAAGAAAAAATGAAATAACTGTTACTATAAAAGAGGAGAAAGGTAAAGATTGCTCATTTTCCTCAACCACCCCTACCAAGTACTAACAAAAGTGTAACGTTTTTGTGGGGTCATGGTACTCTTCTGGAAAAATGTTTTGCAGAAGGATATCATATGGTGATGGCTGATTTTCACTAGAGAAAGAGTGGCTTACTTCATCACAGTGCAGTCAGTTGTCGGTGTTGACTTGTTCCTATGTGTGAGCCATTGCAAAAAACCATTGAGTCCCTTACATATGCAAGTGGTACCAACACTCACGCGGATTCCACGCATCACAGCTGCACTCCACACATGGGGCAGCTCAGGGTGAGGAAGAACCAGTGATTTATCCAAGTTCGTGCGAAGAACGAGTGATATCTGAAGAAGCCTCAAAATGTTCTGGCTGAAATGTAAAGAAAAAAATGATGGATGTTCTGTGTGAATTTACAGTGAAATATTACCAAGCATAAAACTACATCTGCCATTCAATGAAATTTTAAAATTTTAAATTTCATGTAATTAGCAGATTCTAGATGGGAGATTTTTTAGAACAGCACAGAATAACAGAAAGCTATTAAAAAAAAACACTTGAAAGAAAATTGTAACTGATAATCTTCTGAGTAAACCCAGAGCAGAAATAAAAAGTCATACGTGTATTACATTTCCCCCTTCTACCAGTGTCCTTACTGTCTTAATCTTGAGTGCATCCACCAGAGCCCTAAGACTGGCAAGTTTACAAGGAACAGAAGTTTAGATCTCACTGTTGTGGAGAAGGGGAAGTCCGGGATTAAGGGCGCAGCTGGTGGGGGCGGGGGGACCTGCTGGGTCACAGCACAATAGAAAGCCACACATGGCTGAGAGGAAGAGAGAGGCACTGAACTCACGCCTGGGACTGTGAACCCACTCCCAAGAAGGGCGTTAACACATCCGGAAAGAACAGTACTCGTGACCCAGTCCCCCCGGCAGGTCCCAATTCTCAACACCGTGGCACTGCAGATCCTGTTACCACCGGGAAACTCTGGGACTCACACACTCCAGCACCTGTGAGCACCTGCCTGGCCATTACCTATGCCATGTTACAAGTTTTTGCACCTGGGTATGAAAACAAACAGAATCCAATCAGCGCAGAGTCCTCCTTGCATGAGCACCATTATTCCTTTATGCACGCATGAGCATGTTTCTTCTCCCAGGCTGCCTTTGGTATTTCTTATCTCCAGCAATGGCGCCTGTGGTAGACGTGGAGGCCACTCCCCCAGATCTCCCTTGAATGTCTCAGCAGCAGACAGCTATCTGGCGAAGTCACACCCTTGGGAGAAGCCTGCATGATATGCTAACCAAGACTGGAAGGAGACTGAGGAAGGAACGCAGCAGCTTGCTGAGTGGCCAGGGACACCATTCACGGCTGCGGTCCTGGAAAGGGATCTTGCTTATGACAGCGGTACCGGCCCTGCTGCAGGGCTTGTCTGAAAAAGGAGGTGTCTGCTGCCTCTGCCCCCCATACCACCACTCACTCTGATCCTCGAGGTGAGTTTCAGCACAGACCACCTTCTGACCAAGTGTTAAAATAGTGGGACCTTCCGATAAAAGCCTGGGAAGCATCAACAGAAGTGAATGAAAATCTCATTGCACAAGGGAAGGAGGTGTTCTCTTTGTGTTTGTTACCTCTTTCGCTCTCATTATCATCTTCTAATCTAACACTGGCTTCCCGGCAAGGAACAGCTCGGGAGGGGGCAGGGACACTGAACACTTGCCAGCCTGACCAGCCAACGCCAGTATGAAAACTCACAGGCACACTTTTCTCTCAGAATTTTTTTTTTGCACCATGAAAATGTGTAAGGCAGTCTGATAATCAGATCCCACAACACTTAACCTGTTGTTTTATAAATGTTTTTAGACCCTTGGTCTGTGACAAGCAGTTCTTCCAGGTTAACTGCCTTGAGTCTCAATGCTATGTCCTGTGAAGCATCCTTTTCCTCTAGAGAATGTACCTAGACACTAGCAGAGTGTCTTTCCTAATCTGCCCTTTGATTTCCAGGTACCAGAGCTTCTCCTAAATGAAAACTATTTTGTCCAACTCATAGCACTCTCTACAATGATGCAAAAACTAAAGAAAAAGTATGCATTATTTTCTTTTTTCATATCTCTGTCTTCTGTTGAGATGATTAAGTTTTGCTAGACTGCTGTGGTGCTGATACACCAGGACTTTAAAGAAAGCAAAGAGCCCTGGCAAATACCCTTCTTTCCCACTGTACCTATTAGATCCACATACCCAGAGCACAAAGGTTCATCTCTTTCCCTAATGTCCCAACTTATTCAAGAAATTATATCTGCTGCCTAATAACATGTTGGGACTTAGAACAGAAAGGTGCTTTTCTTAACTCGTTCATTTGTTTATTTATTCATTTAATTACTGTGGGGCATTGGCTGGATTACAGGCCAGTCCCTAGGTTTTTCTTTCATGACTTGTGGTGGTAGAAAAATCAAATGTTTGTCATTAAATGGCTTTACAATTGTATTTATCCTTAACCCACAATCTAATATAGAACTTGAACTTCCTTCTAGCATGTCTACCACATGTGCCTATGGATCCTTTAAAGAGTCAATTACAGCAGACTTCGTAAACTTGAGCGAGCCTCGGTGGGCTTAGGGCCCAAGCTGTTTGGTCCTGCCCTAGCGGTTTGGGAGGGGTCTCGAGCTTCATTTCTAAGGGGCTGTCAGGCGTGTCCTCACTGCTCATTCCCTGAGCACACTGTGTGGCTCCGAACTGCAGCCTCTGACTCTAGTTTGTCGTTTTTCAGACCCATTTCAGACCCTCTGGCTTTGTTGTTGGGAGTTGCAGAGTACGTGAACTCAGGCTGCGAAATCACGTGATGGCTGAGTGTGATTAAAAACTGAGGAAAAACTTGATTTCTGTCCTTTCACTGGAAACATCCAAGGAAGGCAATTTTCCTGGCAGGGTGTGAAATTAGTAGATTACTCAGGTGAAGGGCAAAGCCTTCTTGTCATAGCTTTTGTGAGGGAAGTTCACACTGCTAGACTCCTTCTTTAGGTAGGTCTTGGACATTTGTCTTCTAAACATTTGATGGATTTGGCGATTGCCTGACTCTGATAGTCTATTTATCTCTTTTCACTCTTACCTTCATTCATTCCGTAACTGAAGTCCTTCTTATGCTCTTAAGAGTTTACTGATGGACTCAGAAATATTTTTCAATAAAATGTACCATAGTTCTTCAAGTTATTTCATTGTTCCACTTAAGGGAAAAGGAGGTCTGTAGATTTGTGTTTCCAGCCCCTTATTATGTATCATATCTCCTTATAATATGATAATATCCACTGTTACAAGTCATGGGCAAGTTCATTTATCTTTTCGATATGAAAAGCATTCACGAAGAGAACTCTTCTGTTTGTTACTGGACATGGTTACTAACAGAGACCTCTTAATCCTACCACTCAATTCGCTTAGGCTTGTGTCTCACCCAGGAGACCAAAGGTAGTAGTGAGACCTCTCTCCAGGGGACACCCTGCCTAGAGCATGCTGCGTGGTTTGCTTTGGTAGAATGAAGAGGACTCAGACCTAAAAAAGGCGATCTCTTTGGAGCCTGTTTATCAGCTGATGCTACCACATGGTCATGTGTTTAGACCTTGGTTATGCATAGGTGTAACCATTAAACTCTTAAAAATAAACAGCAACAGAAAGTAGTAAGGATCCAAGTATTGTGGACCCAAGGTCATCAGGAAGTCTCCCACCCTGACCAGTCCAAACCTTCTGTCTACATCATACCTGTGTATTCCCCATGTATCCAGTGGGGAATCAAGCAGCTCATACTTAGAACTAAACATCTAGACTAGACTCGACCTTTATCTTTTGTCTGTGCTTCTGCCTGGCTTTACTACTTAGTTCCTCCTCAGGTAAATGTCACCAGGCTGTCAAAGACAGCAGGAGCTCCCACTCACTCACCCTGCACTCTTGGAAAATCAGGGCCTTCAGTCGAGCTTCAGAGTGCTCCCTGGCCTATAAATTCACTCTTTAGCAGTTCTGTGCTCTTGACATAAAGGCTTAAAATTTTTCATAGAAGATTTTAAACTCCATAAGCCAAAACTTAATTGAGAAAATAAGTTTTTAGGAAAAGTCCAAATTTAAAAGTAAAAGAAGGGAGGAAGGAAAGAAGGAAGGAAGGAAGGAAGGAAAGAAGGAAGGAAGGGAGGGAGGAAGGAAGGAAAGAAATATGAAGCAGACATTTATTTCCAAACCACTGAAATAGTAGGGGGAAAAGAATCTCTTTTTAGAAGCAACTTTATTAAAAGTGGCATTGATAAAACTTAAAGTGTTCATTTAAATAAAATAATGATGTGGTACATAGTAAATAAGCGTGACCAGCAAGCACTGACATTGAATGCATTTTTGGGGTCCTTCTGCTATTTTGTTTTTCAAATATAATGAAACAACTATAATGGCTCTGTCCAGCACAGGAATCTAAGGGTTCAGGCTTTAAATGAAATACAAGTGGCAAAAGGAGTCGTGTACCAGCAGAGAAAAGACAGAGCCTCACTGGATGCTCCCCACAAAACATCACTAAGCGCCTAAAACAAGTCTCAATGTTATACCAGGCTATTAAAATGTTTTCCTTCAAGTTTTTCTAATTTGCCTATGGTAAGAGTTAATCACTTCCTCTTTATAAACTACCTTGTGTAATCAACATATTACATAATTTTTGATTATATACAAATTCATACACATTATACCATTTTAATTATATCCTTCATATAATTTTGTAACTATATAAATTTGAAAATCATATTTGTATGACTATTTAAAAACTTAAAATAACTCTACATGTCCTCACAAAACTGCCCTGTGATAAAATTGTCGTTTTTGTCCCATGTGCAAGGCTGCTGGATGCAGGTGCTCGGTGAAAGCAAGTCCAGGGCACCTGAGTCCAGCTGTGGGGATGTCCCACACCTTCTAGGGCTGCTGCACTCACCTAATTCCCAGCTCAAATTCCATTATCACTTTAGCAACTTACCCTTGGCTCTCTAGTTGCCTTCCCTGTGCAGAATGTTGGTCCACCCAGCTCCCTGGAGTGTATTTCACCATCTGCTTATGTCAGGTAAGTGAAACCATAGCCCTGGACCTCAGCAGCAAGGGTGTTCTGCAGCTAAAAGTGCATAGCTGTCAGTACCGCGCTGCATTCTTAGGTGCTATTTTCTCATTGGTCTTTTTTCCCCTGTGCATTCAGCACCCAGGCAGTCTGCATGTGCAGAAGCAAAGTAGCACAGCACTTTCTAAAGCATGTACACGATGTCTTGATCTTTACAGCGTGCTCCACTCTGAGTCTCTCTTGGTTCTTTGACAGACTTGGCACAGGAAGGTGTGGAAGAATGGGTCCTTCAGTGCTGGTGGGGTGTATGGTATCGTGCTCACTCTTGGCCCACTGGAAGCAGCAGGAACAACAAGGAAACAGACTGAGTTCACTGAAAGGCACAGCTCTGCTAAATCCTTTTTAAATTCAAATGTGATGGTTTTGATGACTGTGGGAAACTTCCTAATTTGGAGAAACAGACGACTGAAAATAGAAGACTTGATGTTAGGCCATCTCTTGCACTGCCTTTATCTTTGACTATTTTGAATAATTTCTGCAGAGGGTCAGGGATATAGCTCAGCAGCACAAGCACCTGTCTGGCAAGCGCAAGGTCCTGAGTTTGATTCCCAGTACCGAAAAAATAAATAAATAAAATTAAATAAATGAATATTTTTTGCAGAAAGATTGATATTCATAGTTTTAAATTTTTATACTGACTTCATATGGCATAGTTTCTTCTATTTGATTTTACAGTATCATCTGTGATAATGTAAACTATAATTTCATAAACACAGAAATCATTTCAGAGAGAAATAATAGAAGCATTGACTATTTCACAGAGATGTCCTATATTTAAAAAAAGAAAAACTTTAATGCTGACAAAAGGGGTGGGGACCAAGACAGAAACTCCTTAGGCAAAGAATAGTATTCTGATAGCCAAAGCTCTTGGGATGGTCTGGGGTCCCAGGGCCCTTCCAAACAGATAGGAAATGATCTGTGCCCTTGAGCCTCTCTCAGCAGACATGAAGGGAAGCACACAGGCTATCTGGTTCAATGTTAATATGCACAAATTATCTCAATGAAACATGTCCACCATAAGTGAATACAAGCATATGTCATGGTATAAGAGCTCTCTAAATTTGACTAGCACTTGGATATAGAAAATATATGTGTATAATTTTACTAACCAAATACGTACATCAATTCAAATATTATATTTTCTTTAAAGACATAGAGATAGCGACTAAATAATTCAAAACAATGCATATCAGGACTGACTCTGCATCAGGCACATTAGACAGGCATAGAGCATGTACTAATTTTAGAGGCCCATGAGGATGCTTGAATTTCTTTTGAAATCAAAAGGAAAAAATAAAGGTTTAGCACCAAAGGAAGAGTTATTCTTTCCCTCACAACAGGAAAAAGATCAAATTTTTAAGGTCCGCAAGAATCTCTTAAATTTTGCCTAAAACAAAAAAAGGTAAAATATTTAAAGTTGTACAGAAATAATTTTAAATATTCATATTATGGTGGGAAGACCCATCAAATGGAGAGAGTGTCCAGGACCCTCTAAAATCATTTTGTTTTCTTGTCAACACCAAGCAGATGCACATAGAGAATTTTTGTCTTTAATGAGGACGTAGCAAAGCATTCTGGGTGCCCTGACACCTTGCAAATCATGGACAAAAGAAAACTCTACTGACTGAAAGAAAAAAAGGTGCCTACCTTCCCAGGGTGCTAGAGAAAGCGGGAAACTGCTGAGAGCCAGCCGGGAAATCAGGGTTACACTGGACAGACTCCAGGTCCCAACAGCCTTGGACCTGAGCTGACTGGAGCACCCTGACGCTTTTTATATTATTGCCTCACTGAAGGTGTGTGGCCTTCATGTTACTGGAAGTGACAGGACACCCAAAGCATTCTGTGCCCTTTGCTCCTGTAGCTGGGTCAGTCCTGACACACACACAAACCCTCCCTGGACTCTTGGGCAATTTTCAGCATGGGTCCATTTCTACCTGATTTCATAGAATGGCTATTTTGTTAAAGGTGTATACCTCTCTCTTTTTTTAAAATTATATGCCTAATTCTAATAACACATATTGTGAAATAACTTTAAATGTACAGAAAAAGTTGGAGAATAGAAAATTCCAAACTATTTTTCACCCAATTTCCCAGAATTCCCTAAATACAAAAAATTCTCTTATAAAATCAGAGTATACACAGAATTAGAGAAAACAACCCTAAAATTCATTTGGAATGAAAAGAAACCTAAAATAGCAAAAGTAATTTTGGGCAACAAAGGCCAGGCAGGGGGCAATACAATCCCTGACTTGAAATTATACTACAAAGCTATTGTGATAAAAATAAAACGGCAAAAAAATAGACCCAAGGATCAATGGAACAGATTAGAAGATACAGAAACAACTCCAAACACAGCCCCTTTATCTTTGACTAAGAGACCAAACAACATCACTAGAGGAAAGATAACCTCATTAATAAATGGTGCTGGAAAAACTGACTTAAACCATGCCACAGATTAAAACTAGACCCATATCTCTCATTATGCACTAACCTAAAATTGAAATGAATCAAAGATCTAAATATTAATACAGAAACATTAAATCTGTTGAAAGATAGAATAGGTAAAATTTTTGAAGGCATTGGTATGGGTAAAGACTTTATGAGCAAAACGCTGATGGTGCAGGAACTATCACAAAGAATCGAATAACTATCACAAAGAATCAAAACGCTGATGGCACAGGAACTCTCAAAGAATCAACAAGATGATATCATCTTACTAATAGATATCATCTTATTAAAAAGCTTTTGCACAGCAAGAGAAGCCACCAAGAGAGGAAAGAGACAACCCACAGTGTGGGAAAAAAATTTTGCCAGCTGTTTCTCACACAAAGAACTAATATCTGATATATAAGAGACTAAAAGAAAAAAATCAACCCCCTTCCAAATTTAAAGACCCAATTCAAAAATGAGCATCTGAAATGAACAGACACATCAATTCTCAGCCTTTTGCCTAAGATCAAGTGAAATGAATAGACACTTCTCAAATGAAGAAGTAGAAATGGTAAATAAATATATGGAAAAATGTTCACCACCACTGGCCATTTGAGAGGTGCAAATTAAAACAACACTGAGATTCCATCTCACCCCAGAAAGAGTGGCGATCATCAACAAATCAACCAGTGACAGGGGGGCTGTGGGGAAAAAGGAACCCTTCTCCACTCTTGATGGGAGTGTAGACTGGTGCAACCACTGTGGAAATCAGTGAGGAGATTCCTCAAAAAACTAAAACTAGAGGTTCCACTTGACCCAGCTGTTCCTCTTCTTCATATCTTCCTGAAAGACTTAAAAGCATCATACCACAGCAATATATGCACACCTATGTTTATAGCGATATAGTTGCTAATAGCTAAATCTTGGAAACAGCCCAAATTCCCATCAACTGATGAATGGTAAAGAAGATGTGGTCTTTTATATAATGGAGTACTACTCTGCCATAAAGAAGGATAAATCTGAGACATTTCAAGGTAAATGGATACACTCTGAAACCATACTCTCAAGTGAAACAAATGGGACACACATGTGTAAATACTGCATTATTTCTCTGATATGAGAAACAAAAAGGGCAAATAAGGTCCAAAATATAAAATAGATATGAGAAATAGGACTAAAATGTTCAAATGAGAGGGGAACAAGGGAGAGGAAGGAGGGAAAAATAAAAAATAGAGGGAAATAAGGGGCAAGAAGAGTTGGAGGGGAGAGGACTAAAGGAAAAAGAAAAAGAATCGAGATATACCATGTACAGGTTCAAAGTTCTTATGATGAATGTTATCATTCTGTATCTCTAAATTGTACCAGTACAAGTAATTTAAAAATAAAATAAAATCAGAGTATAATTATCAAAACTGGGAAATTAAGGATTATACAATGGTATTATTTCACCTACAGGCTTTATTCAAACTATGATAAGTACCTCAATAGCCCCACTGACACAGATGGAAGGATAGCTGGATGGGTGATGAATGGATAGACGGATGGACGGAGGGAGGGAGGGATAGATGGTTAGGTAGCCAAAGAGCGAGAGAAGTCCATCCAGTTCCCAGCCACATATTTCTTCTAACTGTCATGTCTCTTGAGTCTCCTTTATTCTGGGACAGTTCGTCACTGTAAATTTGTCTGATGCTTCTTTATGATTAGATTTTTTGACAGTGATATCCCAAGGTGATGTTGTATTCCTCTCAATGGATTGGATCAGGATATGCCCCTACTCCCACATGCACAAAGAATAGTGAAAAGGATTTTCCCCGAAGAAATAGAACATCAAATCAGCCATGTATGTGTATATGCCCAGGATGGCGGAAGCTGCACACGTTTTCTGGGGGTCACCCTGACCAAACACCCCCTATGTAGTGGTTGGCATCCTTTGTTTCCCCACAGTTCAGGACCAGGAGGGGTGTATGATGGTTTGGTTCCCCCAGGGCTCTCTCCATGTCTGCGAAGAACTGCTTCCCGGTTCTGTCTTCACAGGACCTTTGCTCGGGGTAAATGTCCCTGGTGTCTGCTGTTCTCATGAGGACCCTCGTCCGCTAGATCAGGTCACCCTCCGCCTGACTTCAGCTGGATGCCCTTAACCTTTGAAGACCTCATGTCCCTCCTGCCCTATACTGGGGGCTCAGACGTCACCACGTGACTTTGCAGGGGCTTTCGACTCCATCCCTAACACCCAGCCAATCCAGCTCCTCTTCCATTCATGGTGATTTTTGTGAGAATGACTTGTTTCCGGGTATCAGGAGCCCTGAGGAAGAGGCCGCGAAGTTGCTCCACTGCGTGGCTCTGCTTTGCGGAGCCCGGCTCCTCCGCACGGATTCAGGGCAGTGACGAGTGGCTGCTCACACGGGACGTGGAGCGGGGTCCGTATCAACTTGCTCGCTAGGAGAGCGGAGCAAACGCTTATTCTCTAAGTACTTAGTTCCTCCTGATTTTGTTTTGATCTTTTCCAAACTTAGTCATTTGTTCCCTGATATGATAATGTTACTTAACAAAGTCAGTGGTACTGATAACTTGTTGACTCTTTTCCAGTGCGCTACGTGCCACTGAGAGCGCAGCAGCAGATGTGACATTTCTTCCTTTACAGATCTCACAGCCCCTCGGAGACGCAAATAGGCAAGTCACGCGCAGCCAGCCCGGAAAGGAATAGGGTCGGCAGGGACAGGGCGGGACTTGTCACTTGTCCGTGGAAGCTGATTGAGAACCTGAGAGCA